AGAGAAGTCGGATCCTCAGGTGATGATACGCATGCCGATCCAGATAATGAAGGAGAAAGGCCGCTGGTCGTCGCTTACGAGCTCCACCCAAAAGAGAAGGTATACGAGACGTTTGGTCAATCTGACTTGGCCTAAGTTATTGATACCTCAGTATAGGTTATTAAGTATAGTATTGGTTTTGCTGTTTATTTGGTTTAACTGTGTGTTGTTGTCTAACTTGGTAAACGAAACTATGGCTTCAATCGACCCCGCCCCACAAACCACATTCCCCTCAACTAAACCCCGATCTGAGGCAGGTGAAAAACGAATCAAAGGCCTCTTGAGAATTTGCTTCAATGAAGGAGTACTACCGGATTTCCCCATCCCTGGGCTTGTAGAGACAGGTGATGACTTCGTTAGGGTGAGGGTGGATCATGACGTTTACCAGGTTCAGGTTGATTGGTTGCGCGATCACGCAGTTTCTGTCTTCTTCGATGATGAGGCCACATCCCTCTCAGCAGACGTCAAAAGCAGGCTCGTACGATTGTACGAGAATGGTTGGGCAGTGGTCGGGATTCCCGAGGCGACCCCGATAAGAGGATCGTTTAGAAACGAATGAAGAAACTTGGCTACTTATATAGCATTTGCGAAACCAATCACTGATTGGATGTTACGAAAAGGGGAGAATAAGGTCGTGCTTGATGGTCAAACTTATTCGTTGTGCTTTCGAGCATGGATGACAGAACAACAGCTTCATGATTGGAGAGAAGCAATGAAGCAAAAATTATTTTGGATCCACTGCATGGAGGTGTCGGTCTCAACGTTGGGGCTACTAAAACGGGCAATCCATGACGCCTTTGGTCCAGTCATCAAAGACCGCTTGACATATGCTAATCCGTGGAAAACTGATCTCTGAAATGTAAGATTTAATCTCCTCCCGTCACCACGTTTGCGATACAAGAAACGTCTGTTGATCGATCTTAAGAAGGATGGTCTGATAAAGATCGATGTAATTTGTGCAGAAACGTCGTGGTGTAGACTTTACAAACACCACTTTCATAAAGAATCATATGATTGTTGTCCTAAAAAGAAACGAAAGCAGGTACCTAAAAACGATGACGAAGGCAGGAACTCCGAGTGGGAAGGTGACCCTTCAAAGGTCCCCCCAATGAACAAGGAACCAACGGATGATGGGAAATCCCACTCCCCCTCTTTCAAAGAGGTTTTGCTAAGGAGACAAGAAAAACCCACAAAATTAACAAAGTAAAAGGGCTATCAAAGAGAAAAGTAGGCACGATGCAAATCACCCCCTCCCGCGTAAAATAGGCAACCCCTTTAAAGTTAAGAAAGTACATGTTCCCAAAAATAAAAAATTCGCCATTCCTGAGAAAGGATCAAACTCACCTGCCCCGTTTGTGTTTGGCGAAAAAAAATCGAAGAAGAAATCACAAAAGGTGAAGATGATTGGTACTTTAGGGGAACATGCTCCTCTTGTTTCTAAAGATAATCCAGTAAATGGGGTTGTGGGTACGGAACAAACTACCCCCTTCCCCCAATCCATCTTATTTGGATCGGGTATGGAAGAAGATAAGGACAAAGATATGAGCATGAGTGATTCAGAGTCAGAAGGAGATGCAGATCCTGGGTTTAAGTCCGCAAACCAAACAGACCTAGGTTTGACCTCTCTATTCCATGACGGTGACCCGACGCGACCCTGCAATCCAGGGAAGGCAAAAAATGATGGGCTGGCCCAAGTTGACTTTGACTTTTCACTTTCTGGATTAGCAACGCAAGGAAACTTTTCATTTACAAATAAAGAGGAAGAGCGGGTTTCATTGAAAAAAACACGATTAAACGACGAAACAACTTTTTAGACTGCAGCGGACACGGGACTGGGAGATTCGGCGAAAAAAAACGACTCGGAAACAAAGTCGACCTCCAAAAAGAGGGGGTCGGCAGGGAGAATGACAAAAAAAATCATTTTTCTTGCTGAATCTATGACATCCTTGTGACGAACAGATAAATCTAAAAATTTCTCCGAAAGAATACCTAGTCCCGTTAATACTTTCTGATTCGCCGCTTGGCCTAATAATCTTTTTCAAGAAGATGAAGGATGAAACATGATTAAGCTTCCCGGCGTTAGAAATTATTAACCTCCCCGCAGTAAACTCAATGTCCGACTTAATAAAGGAGCATGTGCTTAATCACACAGGAAGCTGTACGATTCTGCTTGATTCTAAACCAGGTCGCCATGTCGCAATCCAACAAGGAAGGAAAAAGTTATTTTACATATAATATTCATGGGAATAAGGTCTGTTACAGATTCCTTTGGCCCATGGTGTGCTAGACGGATATATTGGTACCAACTGTTAAACCTACTCACTCCGAACAACGATAATGTGCCATCCATATTTTTTACTTCCACTATTACAGCAAAGGAGATTCCGGATTGGTTGACCAAGACCGATGCAATCACCACGTTGTCAGAGCCTAACTTTAAAACGATGGTCATTACATCGGTTTTGTCCTTAAAATTCTCAGAGAACAAGACTCGTATCCAACAGCTAAGCGGGGCAAATCAGGCCAATGGTCCTTCTTCTTCTTTCTTCCTTCCTTTTTTTTTTTTTTTCAAAAAACTTTTTAAATCGTTGGGGAGTGTGGGGGAAAGAGGGAAACAAAGAGAGAAAAAAAGAAAGAAATAAAGAAAAAAAGAGAAAAAGAGAGAAATAAAGAAATAAAGAAAGAAAGATAGAAAGAAAGAAGAAGAAGAGAGAAGTAGAAGAAGAAGATGAAGAAGAAGAAGGAGAAGAAGAAGAAGAAGAAGAAGAAGAAGAAGAAGAAGAAGAAGAAGGAGAAAAAGAAGAAGGAGAAAAAGAAGAAGAAAAAGAAAAAGAAGAAGAAGAAGTTGGAGAAGGAAAAGAAAAAAAAAGGTCTTAGGGGGAGGAGGGGGGAGGGGGGGAGGTGGGAAACGGGCGGCCGCCACGTGGCGCGCGCACGTGGCACGTGGCACGTGCTGCGCGACCGTTTAGAACCCCCCCTCCCTCCCACTAAGACCTTTTTTTTTTTCTTTTCTCAAAAACGCCATAAAATCGTTGGGGGAGAGAGAGGGGGGGGGGAAGGAAAAAAGAAAGAAAGAAAGAAAGAAAGAAAGAAAGAAAGAAAGAA